GAGTTTCATGTACCAGCACCAGACATTAGAAATGGGGCATGCCAAGTGTGTGCACATGAATGGATGGAGCAGGTGGGTGAGCACAGAGAACTAGTGAGGAAGACAGAAAGAGACCACATGGCTTTCACAGGCAAAAGGAATTTCTGCCCTGCAAAATTAGAAAAATAAATTTAAAAATAAAAAAGGTTTATCCTTCAAAACAGTGTCTAGCCTCCCAAGAAAGCCTTTCTTTCCAATCCCACCTACTAGTAAGAAGCCTTGACATTTCCCTGCTCTGAAGACTGTTCAACACTGGACCAGCACTTAGGCGCTTTCTTCACTACTTAGCCTTGTTCCCGCTCCACAAGTAGCTATGCAGGTACTGTTCTTGCCATTTGCCAGCCCAAGAGAGGTAAGGTACAGACACACAGCAAACAAATGGAGTGTTCTTCTAAACCCTAGTCTATTCAAAGTCTGTGTTCTTGGTGCTACTGAATTGTGTTGGTTTTGGGCCATTAACTGGCCATTTGATGTTTTGCAGAATGGGATGAGAGGGCCACAGTCTTGGAGTACAATCAGCTCAGTCTCAGGCATTCTTTTGTTCTTAGCTCTCTCCCCATAGACCCTTGCTTGGGATCTCAGAGTTGTGACTACAAACTGGCAACTCAAATTTTTATCCCTCCTTAAAATTTCTATCCCATCCATCCATCCACCAATCCATCCATCCATCCATCCATCCATCCATCCACCCACCCATCCAGTGTATGTATGTGTGGAAGGGATGGAACTCAAGTCATCCAGCTTGGCAGGAATACCTGCACTTTCTGAGACACCCTGCCCATACGTATCCCTACCTAACAACCAACCTGCCCTTCAGATGCACACCTGCAAGCATGTGCGGATCTTTGAAATGAACCAAATACAAGATGCAGCCTCTATCTTTTCCTCCATTACTGAGCCCTGCCCCCTTTTCAGTCTCACACAATGCAGTAGCAGCCAGCACCTTCAGACTTGTTACTATCTCCCTCCACAGTAAGTTCCCTGAACACCAACCTGGGAGCTGCAGAGTAAGCTCAGAAGTTAAGTGCCCCTACTGCTCATGTCAGGCAACTCACAACTGCCTCTAACTCATCTCCAGAGAGCTTGAAGCCCTCTCCTGGACTCATGAGGCACTGCACTTATGTACACAGAGAAAAGACACACACATACACACATACATACACACACACACACAAACACAAAAGTCTTTAAAAACACCTCATGACAATCTGACTGTGCTTCTGTTCTCTCCATAGGATTCCCCCCACTCTCTCTTTCTCTTTCCTTCTCTCCCTCTCCCTCAAGACAAGGTTTTCTCTAGGTAGCCTTATCTGTCCTGGAACTCAGAGAATGATCTGTCTTTGCCTCCTGTCTAGTCCTTCCTTTGGTGGCCTCCTCCTAGGAGGTTCAGCTCTAAGCACACCACTTCCTCTAAGAGAGCTTCTCACCTGCCAGTTTAAAGCAGTCTGCACTCTCCTCCCACAACACAGTGGGTCGCCATCTGTGGCCGCTAGCATGTGTGGGTGTTGTTTATACCCCTATCCTCTAAAGGGTGACATGGGGCAGGTTTATCTGCTGCACACACAGCCCCGCAGGTGCTCATGGTATGCTGAACAAGTAAAGAACTGCCAAGTCTAGTTCAAGTCCCCAGCCCTCACCTGACACCCACTAGCGCCTTCTCACTGGTCGTGCTACCTTCGTGGTCTCTTCCTTCAGTCCAATCTACCTTCAAAAATTGACGAGTTCTAAAAAACACATTTGACCCCTGATTAAAAGCCTAAAGTTCCCCTACAGTTTCCATGTTAAGTCCAAGTTTCTCCACATGACATGAATAATTTGGTTTTAATTCCTCTCTTTGGTGATGACTTCTGCTACTACCACCAACTCCACCCAGTGACTTGATTATGTTGTCACTTGATGTTACAGAAAATGCCAAATGGTTTTCTTTCCAACTTTTTTGTTCTTGTTTGTTTGCCTGTTTGTTTTTAAACAGGGTCTTGTTCTGCAGCCCAGGCTGGCTTCCTGGCATGCAACACCATGCCTAATTTTTTTTCTTCTGAAGAGCATCCTTGCCTTCATCCTACCCTTACAAGTGCCCTCAAGATCCAGACCAGTGCTGTACCCTGCAAGTACTTCTCAGGCCCTTTCACTAAATTTCTTCAATTCTTCTTTTTCTATTGATACAGGATCTCTGTGAAGTCCAGACTGGCTTTAAACCAGTGATCCTCCTACCTCAGCCTCTCAGTAAGCCACCCCGTGTTTCCAGATAAATCTGACTTTTAAGAAAAATTTAAAATACCAGTGGGGGGTGGAAGGGAGTCAGATATATGCCTCAGTGGCTAAGAGCTTGTAAAGGATCAATTCAACGCCCAGCAACTACATGGTGGCTAATAATGGTTTGTAACTTCAGTTCCAGGGGTCTGATAACCTCTAGCCTCCTTGGTACTATGAATGTGGTATGTAGACATGTATGTAACCAAAACATCCATATATATATAAAATAAGTAAATACATAAATAAATGAATCTATAAACTTTTTTATTCGACATATTAAAGAATACACATGTTGGGTATGCTGGTACACACCCTTGATCCCAGTACTTGGAAAGGAGGGCAGATGGAACTTTATGAGTTCATTAGCCTGTCTATATAGCGAGCTCTAGGCCAGTTTGATTTACATGAGATTCTGTCTCAAAACAACCAAAAACACAAGTAACATGTATCCCATCAGTACTTTATTGATGAGTTCATGCGTGGACTCTACCTGTCCATCCTTCTGAGTTGCTAAGAAGGCAAGGTCAAACTGGCAACCACACCCAGTGGGGCTTACAAGCCTACAACCAGGAAGGTTCTGGAATTAATTTCTGGTTCCAGCAATATCATGATAACTCTATGAACTTGCTGATGCGGACTTAGCATTTCTTTGCAGATTTCTTCATCCATAAAGTGAAAACCAACCATCCACCCTCCTATGTACAAGTAACAGGAACCTCCAACTCTCACACCAATGCTGAGTGTAGCACAAGGACATCTTTTTACAACATCTCTGGCACTCTGAGAAGTGCAGCCTTTGTGCTTGGGAGAAACGGATTCACACCACCAAAGACTTGTGAAGGGCACTTGGTTTCAATCTCGAGCTCCAAATGCCAACCTGGCATTAAAGCTTGCACAGTCTCACATTCCGAACAGCCACTTCAGCTGCAATCAAAGAGTAGGCAAGAACTTGTGCTTACATCATGAAGAGGGAGGATCCTGTAGCTCCATCACCAGGACAGAAGGGGTCTGGCCATCAGAGTCATGTGGATTCTAACTCCCCCACCCTCCCCCAACACAACACACAAACCTTTCTTGTTCTCTAAGTGGCATTCTGTGCCATCCTCTGTCAGAACTGCCTTTGGGTCTTGTTTACCAACAGCTTGGCACGGGGTTCAATCCACTCCCAGTCCATCACACGCTCTTCTACCCAAACACAAGCAAAACCCCATAATGATTCCAACTGCAGTTTCTGTTAACAATGCAGAAGAGTAACTTTGGGTCATCTTTCCCAGTCCTCATCAACATAGACAGACAGACAGACAGACAGACGGACAGACAGACAGACAGACAAAATCACCCAGTTACTTAGAAATCACTTCCTCTAACGGCATTAGTAAAATGTTTGGGTAAATAGATACTTTTCTGATTAAGATTTTTAAAGGAAATGGAGTCAAATAGCGTTTCTCTTCAGCTGTCAATGTAGAGGACAAGTTTATTCCTAGTAAACCCAAAGGACCCAGGATGGTACTGAACACACAAACAGCAAATGCCATAAGGACTACAAAGAATCAGAACTACAGCTGTTTTGTGTGAGTTTGGGGCTCTTCTTCTCCCTTCTCAAAACCACTTCTTACATTAGACACGAGAGCATGCTGCTCCAGGAACATGATACTAAAACCAGGCAGCAGGACAAACCACTCGTCCTTCTGACATGAAGCCACCTTCAAATAACAATTCATAAAAGGCTGAGTAACAAGGTGGAGATTAGAATACAGAGTGTCTACCTCATCAAGTCTACTTCACCTCTGCCATGTTCCAGGAAAGTCACGCTAAGACAGGAAAGAAAGACTACCAAATATGTGGTAATACTTGGAGCTGAAAATCTACTATAATGGCTTGAATAAGTACAATCTATTTGACAACTTCTGCCTGCTATGTGTATTGATATATATATATATATATATATATATATATATATATATATATATCAAGATCAAGAAACGGATATAAAGTACACACCTTTAATCCCTACAGTTCTGCAGAAGCAGAAGGATCTCTGTGAGTTCCAGGTCAGCCTGGTCTACAGAGTGAGTTCCAGGACAGCCAAGACTACACAATAAGACCCCTGCCTCAAAACCAAACAAAACAAAAATCACACCTCAAGTTATCAATATGCTTGCCTCTATTATTGAAGCGATGTGTGCTTATGCATATGTATGCATGAGGCACACACCTGTGAAGATCAGAAGTCAATATCCTGAAGCTCTCTCTACTGGTCTCTATCTTTTCTTCTTCAAACAGGGTCTCTTGGAGCTCACTGACTGTCATCTAGAATAACTGGCTGGTGAATCCCTGGGATCCTTCGGTCTCCTCTTCCCAAGACTAGGATTAAAGACACATTGGCCATGCCTGGCCTTTTATGTGGATGCTGGAAATCCCAAGTCACACTTTATCCATGGAGGCATCTCCCCACCCCCATGCAGAAGGGTTTAAGGTATCTGTAGATAGCTGATCATTCTCTGCACAAATGCACAAACAATTACCTCGAGGAAAAACAAGTTCAGAACACTAATCCACAACATTTAAACTGATATAATACGAGGTAAAGACAGCAGAGCAGATGAAAAATGGCTTGGCTCAACATGTAAAATAAGGCCCACTACCCTTGAGTAAGAACAGAGTTCTTACAGGGGTTCAACAGCTCAGGCCCCCAGGGTGCTACTTACTTCCTCATTAAACAGCTTGCTAGTTTCTTTTTTGATGGGGTCTATGAGCTGGACTTGGCCTGCGGAAAAGCCCACTAGGAGAGAGACACTTTCTGCTGTGGCTGTTAGGTGGTTGAAGTCATGACAGGTAGGCTGTGTTCCTTTGTATATCCTTTTATCTATTGGTTTACTCAAGTCAGCAGCCTGGAGGAAAGAGAAAAATACATACAGTAAACAGCATATTGAGGTGAGAAAAGCTAAGTTAAACTATTTCATACGCTACTCCATTATAAACTTCAATTTTAAAAGCAAAGTTATTTAAAATACTGCTTCAATTGTGACTTAAATTCACCTCATGTTTTATAAAAGCAATTTCACATATGTAGCCAACTAGATATGTTAGATTATCTGTAAAATATTCATTTGGAACTGTTGTTTCCACAATTTTTCCTCCTTCAAATGTGTGTAACAAGGACTTCCAAACTTCAGAAGGAAAACGCCTTTGATCCTAAATTCCATTATTTCCAAATGCATTGCAAGAAGTCTAACAGAGTAAGTCTATGCGCATACAGTTCAGGTATGTCTAGAGTACCTGAAAGCCCACTGCTCAGTTACCTAGAGTTAATGGTACTCAAACTGTGGACTACAGACTGGCAGGCAGCAGCATTAACTGGAAACTCAGAACGCAAATTCTCTGTGCATTAGAAATGATGGGAGTAGCCTAGAAGCTGTAGTTTTACAAGTCTCCCAGGTGATCGGATGCCCATGATCTAAGAACCACCACCAGGGGCGGCTCCTGCTGCTGCCATGGCCTCTACTGCTTACAGCAGTCCTACAACATCCTACATTGAGAGCAGTCACCGCCCTGCTTGGTTAATGCAGAGCTGGACTTGGAACCTAGCTCTGTTGACTGTAAGCAGATGGGGGAGAATATATATTCAACACTCTAAGGTCAAAAGCAAATAGTGACTTTTCAATGTGTCCCCAACTCCCTCCTCCCCCATCCCCACTCTGCCATTAAAAAATGTTGTTTGTTTTGCTTTGGTTTTGGGTTTTCGAGACAGGGTTTTTCAGTAGCTATGGAGCTAGTCCTGTAACTCACTATGTAGACTAGGCTGGGCTCAAACTCATAGGGATCCACTTGCCTCTCTGTCTCTCAAGGGCTGGGATTAAAGGCGTGTGATATCACTGCTCAGCTTGTTTTGGTTTTTTTGTTGTTTTGCTTTTTGTTTTTTCTAAGAGAGGGTTTCTCTGTGTAGCACTGGCTGTCCTGAAACTCACTCCATAGACCAGGCTAACCTTGAACTCACTGAAATCTGCCTGCCTCTGCCTCCCCAGTGCTGGGATTAAAGGTGTGTGTCATCACCACCTGGCTAAAAAAAAATGTTTTTAACATTCATCAAGTGTATGTACACACGGGTCAATGTGGAGTGTGTGGAGGCCAAGGAACAAGCTGTAGAGGTCAGAGTTCTGCTTCCACTATGCGGGTCGCTGGGATTGAACTCTGATCCATGCGTTTCCCCTTTTCCCAAGATGCTTATTTTCTTGAAGAAATGTCCCACATTAAGTGCAATCTGCTAAACTGTTTCTGTTGAACAAAGGCAGCCATACCCCCTCGGTGCCCAGTGACTGCACATACACTCCTCCACAGACACAGACACATTTAAAGCAGATAAAAAGGAAAAGGTAAAACCACAGGTGGAGACAGTATCATTCCTCTGCGTGTCGCTCTGTCTGTCTATTCTTTATAACATTCTTCTCTTTACCTCAGGCACCATCGAAAATCCACAGGTTCCTTCCTTCTTCCAAAGGGGCCTGTGACACCATATGACTTCTTATTCTGTTTCACTCCCAAAGAACAGATACCAACTAGAAAGGAGGACTTCAAAATTGTGACTTTGAACAAGCTGGAAACAGAGGATTTCACAGTACCCGGGAGGGCCATGAGCACAAAGGAGATAGACGAGCCTTCCAGCTTTGCCTCTATTAGAACACACAAGAGGTCTTGCCTTTAATCTAGGCACGTGAGAGGCAGAGGCAAGCAATATCTCTGAGTTCAGGGCCAGCCTGGTCTAAAGAAAGCTCCAAGCCAGTCAGGGCTACACAATGAGATCAACAAACAAACAAACCAAAAAACCAAAACCACAAATGAGACTTTCTGTTCTACCTACTGTGGGATTGTCAGGAGGGTGAAACAAGGGAGTGTGCCCAGGAAACAGCTCTGAAATAAATGTAGGTGACACTAATTCAAAACAAAGGGTGTTGACCTTGCTGCAGGGAGAACGGATGAGAAGGCACCTGCTGTGAGGCAACAGCTGGGTGGAGTCAGAGATCAGAACCAGAAAGCACCAAAAGAGACCCAAGACAGACTTGACAGAAGGCTCCTGCTGGGCCCTAAGAGCTGGGCAAGAAGATCCCAGGCTGTGGAAATGAGAGTAAGCCATCCCAGAACAATGAAGTTACCAGAAGGAAAAATGGCTGAAATAAGATACAACTGGCAGCTGAAGAATAAAACTCCATTTAGAAGTGCAAATCACTAAATTATTACTTTAAAAAATATTTCATAGCCGGGCGGTGATGGCGCACGTGGGAGGCAGAGGCAGGCGGATCTCTGTGAGTTCGAGGCCAGCCTGGTCTACAAGAGCTAGTTCCAGGACAGGTTCCAAAGCTACAGAGAAACCCTGTCTCGAAAAACCAAAAAGAAAGAAAGAAAGAAAGAAAGAAAGAAAGAAAGAAAGAAAGAACGAACTCAAGTGTGTGTTTGCCTCACGTGTGTCAGTGTACCGCAGGCATGTCTGAGGAGGACAGAAGAGGGTATTAGATGCCCTGGACCTGGAGTTACAGTGGTTGTGGTTTTTTTGGGGGTTTTTGTTTTTGTTTTTTGTTTTGTTTTGTTTTTTGTTTTTTCTGAGACAGGGTTTCTCTGTAGCTTTGGTGCCCGTCCCGGAACTAGCTCTTGTAGACCAGGCTGGCCTCAAACTCACAGAGATCCACCTGCCTCTGCCTTCCAAGTGCTGGGATTAAAGGAGTGCGCCACCACCACCCGGCCAGTGGTTGTGTTTTAAAGCTCGTCCTCCATCACTTGTGGGACACACAAAAGCACAACTGGCCCCTAGGACACTTCCTCTATACCTCAGGCTATTCTGTCCAAGCCCCTTGCTCCCTAATGGCACAGCAGGCGACACGTTGCCTACACCAAACAGAACTACTGTGAAGCCTGAAGGGACCCAGAGGACTTGCTCCCCACTCCCTAGGCACCCATCCCAACACAAAAATTACTTCTCTGAAAGTATTCATGGATTCTACTATTGGTACTTGAGGTCTCTGGAGTCTAGCCCAGGCAAAAGAGAAGCTCACCACACAGTCTGTCAGTTCACACAGCACAGCTGTCTCCCCATCTTCTCTCAACAACCACTGCCTAGCTCGATATATTTCTGTCCTATTTACTCCCTACTTTGTGTGTGGCACTACTTGGAGCTCACACCCCTTTTAACAGCAGCAGTCACTACCTGAGCCAGCCTCCATCTCTCGTTAAGGGGTCCTGACTCTCTGGCAGATGGCTTCCGAGCTCGAGGCCATCTGGCAGGACAGAGAAAGTCTAGACCTTATAACTTGGCAAGCTTAGACTTAAAGCTGTCTTCCCTTTTGACCGGTAGCTTTTTTCTGTCATTGAGCCTCAGAGAACAAGCCCTGCTTCCCCACAGGCAGAGGCTCTCAGATAGTAACCACAACCATCTTGTCTGTTCCTCAGGTTCAAAGCTTCACTCCCTCCCTCATTTCCATCTATTAAAGCATGAAGATCTCCCCCGCTGCCACATTCCCCCCTGGTCTCACAAAGCAACAGTTACTAAAGACTAGGCCCACACCAGGAACTTGATGCCCATTATCCCATTTCATCTCTGATGCGGTAACTAGGAAGGGATGCAGGGGTTCAGGTCCCGTGTTCGTCTCTACCTTCAGTTATTCTCCACACCACACCAAGCCTCAGCTGACAGGGCCTCTCTTTGCAGCTTTCATGTACCATGCCCCTAGTTAGGGTAGTCTCCTTGGCCATCTTCAGGAATCCTGCCAGTCACTTCTAAGACCCACTCGTTCTCCTGGCTACTGCTCTGTGCTCCTCAGTTAATCTGAGTTCCCAAATGCATAAACAATCCCACAAGGTCTAAATGCTTAATCATTTGCATGGCTTAAGAATTTTTAGTTCTTTAAATTTATTTATTTTTATTTTATGTATATGGGTGGAACCCATAAGAGGTGTCAGATCTCCTAGGACTGGAGATCCAGGTCATTGTGAACCCCATGGAATCAAACCTGGGTCCTCTGGAAAGGCAACAAATGCTCTTACCCATGAACTGAACTCTAGCACTTAGGAGGCTGTGGCAATCAACCAAGGCCAGTCGGGGTTCAGTAGCGAGACCCGATCCCAGTTCTTAAAAAAACAAGAGAGCTGGAGAAATGGCTCAGTGGTAAAGAGCACAGGCTTTTCTCCCAGAGGAACTGGGTTCAAGTTCTAGCACCTTCATGGCAGCTTACAACTAACTCCAGTTTAGGGGAATCCAACACCCTCTTCTGGCCTCATCAGGCACCAGGCACACACATGGTGCACATAAACATGCAAATAAAACACTTTTTTTGGCGTACACCACCATACCTGGTTAAGTAAAACACTCTTGCACATAAACAAATCTTTTTTAAATTATATAAAAATAATCCCACTAGGGAATCAGAGTCAACTGCCAAAGTTCTAGCCAGTAAGACTTCTTAAACATCTCCTTTCTTCCTTGGACCATGGACACCTTGGGAATTCTTTTCTAAGATGAATCTATCTGCACTTTGCCTGCATACCAGATGAGGGCATCAGATCTCATCACAGGTGATCATGAGCTACCACGTGGCTGCTGGGAATTGAACTCAGAACCTCTTGAAGAACAGTCAGTGCTCTTAACCTCTGAGTCATCTCTCCAACCCCTTTTCAGATGAATCTTGCTGAAATATGGTGAGGACTGTTCCTCCTAGCACACACTGCTACCCCATCCTCCTGGCTCCTTGCAGAATGCTGCTGAGTCAACACAGGTGCTAAGCATTGCCTGGAGCCTGTGAGAGGCAGCCTGGTTCCACAATTTGAGCCTACGCGTAGTGAGCATGCCACATCACGTGGTACTGAGCTGAGGCTCTCTTTGTGGGAACTTGCTACTTGATCCTCT